CTTTCCTCCGTCCATGGGGCACAAAAGGTGATTTTTTTTTTTGTAGAATATTCTGGCCACACTTTTCAATATAGCACTTTCAATATGAGGACTGGGGCTGTTTAGCTCCAAAAATAACAAAAAGCTCCATAAAAGCAGCATTAGAGTGGTCCAAATAAGTCATTTAATCAAATAATAGTAAAAAAAAATATTGTATAAAATTATTATTAGAAAATATTTAATTACTGCTACCTTATCTTGTAATACAATAAAAAACATTGACATTCTGGAATATTCTGGCCACACTTTCCAATATAGCACTTTTAATATGAGGACTGGTTCTGTTAAGCTCCAAAATGACAGAAAGCTCCACAAAAGCAGCATAAGAGTGGTCCAAATAAGTCATATAATAGCGTAGTATGATGAATTTCGTGTTATCTGTCCCTAGATATCCATGGCATATTAATGAGCCAATTTCATAGTTTTTCTATGGTGCTTTTGTGTTCTTTTTGAAGTTTAAAAGCTCCAGTGCCCATTCATTGTAATTGCATGCACAATTCAATTTTGTGTTAAACAGAATAAAAACAATCAGTAAACAATATCTAAAGACATAAGCCTGCACCTATTATGAACCGTGAGATATTACATTTAGTATATGAGCAAAACATCTCTATAAGTTAATGGCCTTGAAAGATGCAAACCGATGCTAATGTAATAAGCAACGGTGAAACAAAATCATAAAAAGTATATGTTTATTTATTCCAGTGGCTAATATGTTGCATGTCATATGGAAGTTTGGGAAATTAAGTTAAAAAAAGTACCTCCCCTTACTGAATCATATAAGTAGGGCAGGGCATTGTACTAAATCAAGTATCATAAGCAGTCAGAGATTGTTTCCATTGTTCTTACCACTGTCCCCAGGGGCTGTGACTCAGAGTCATCAGTGGGATACATACGTGACACAGGGCACATAAGAATATCTGTGCCATTGGGCACGATATTACAGTAGTCCTGGATACACTGAAGCCACCACCATACTGCATCACGGCAGTTATAACGGGCTGCGACACCCTGACCCAGCAGATTAGGGATCAGACCATGTCTCACTGTGCCAGCAAAGGCCAAGATGATATTTCTGTCAGAAGCAACATCAGATTAGAGGATGATTTCAGAGTCATTGGTATGTATTCTAAAACTAGATGCTCACCTGGCCTCTAAGTACCTCCCTGTCAAAAGCATGAGGCCGCGCAGCGCTATGAAAGTGTCTCGCCCCCAACAGCGGAAGATTCCAGTGGAGAAATGTGGAAGACCTGCATAGGTGATAATTTTTTCATAAAACAAGTACCACATTAAAAAGTATGTAATATGTAGAAGTGTATAAGTTGGTACATCAATAATAATTATTTTAATCACATTGCAACTTAAGCATTAGAAAGCATGTCAATATGGTAGTAT